AAGTCCATGTGTACGAATATCTAGAAGAGATTAAGAATTTCGACGAATTCGGCTTAGCAGAGCTGATGAATGCTTATGTGTACGCCCCAACGTTGATGGCGCAACCTAAACGCCAATTGCCAGCTGGTGCCCAGATGGAATTCGAACGAGAACATACTCGCAACCCCCGTGCTCATCTGGTAGCTTATTTCGAACACCATAAATTGGCTCATCACCTTCTACTGGCGTTATCTTCCCCTAATTGCAATTTGCAAATGATTAAATTAATTCGCCGCTTCCTCTTGCATCTCTCCAATACAAAGGAAGGCCTCTTCTACTTATTGAAAGAGATCGAAGTAGTTCAACTGATATTAAAAGCTCTAAGGTACGAGCTACCAGGCGCTGGGCGCATCCTAGCGTGGCGTCTCCAGGTTGCACAGTGCCTGATTCGCTTGAAACAGACTTCCGATTGGACGATCTTGAAGAGATTGCATTCTTTCCTCATTTTTCCAGATGGTTTGCGTGCTATTCTTACGGTTTTGCCCCTGAGCGACTTCTTAGATATTCTGATTCCTTTCTTGTCGGATTCTAATCTCTGCGAGTTTGCCGCCGAGGTGATCTCTGCGGTTGTCCGTTACTCCGACAGGGTAGAGATCTTCCAGAACCGTGCGGAATTAATACTGGACAAAGCTCGCGAGCATGTCATTCTCAGGGACGTGACATCATATCTGACAGTCGCGGCCCAAACTTCTCATTGGGATTACTGCGACGTCTCCCTATTGGTGACGATTATCAGGAAAAGCGCCGAGAAGGCTGCATCGCTTCCAGGCCAGTTAATTACCGCCTGTAGAATCCTGCATTATCTTATCTTCCCATCAAATAATGACGTTGACCCTTTAGAGCCGTACATTGAACTCAAATACAGGAATGCTCTGACTCAATTATTCGCCGCTGACGGCCTCACCGCTCTGGTTGCCGTAATGGCAAACGTGTCTGAATTCTATGAACAACCGTTTCTTCATCGTGCTGCTCTAACTGGTCGCAGAGGCATGGCGTTAATCGCTTTGTTGCTTCCTTGCGTGAAGCTGACCAGAGCATTGCTCGAGAGACTCGTCAAGTGCATGGCAACAGACTTTAAAGATCTCACGGCCGTCGTTCCGCTGCTCGGAGTCTATTCCTTGATCGAAGCCATCCCGTCTAATCTAATGGTTCAGACTTTGTCCGAAGAAATCGTAGGAACGCTCCTAGTCTTTACGCAAGCTGTCGATTCCGACGGTTCTGGCAACGTAGCGAAATCTTTATGGACTCAGATGCTAGGTGAGGTTCTGAAGATGATCTCCCTCCGTCCTTGCAACTTCGTGCCAGGTTTGAAGCTGCTAACTCGCCTACTACCACCTGTCTTAACATCGAAAGAGACCATCACTGAAGACGCAACAAGAATTCTGGGCCTAAGAAAGCTCTGGTCAGCACATCTTCAAGCTCAAGCCACGAATCTCACTGAAACGCTTCGGTTACTTTGCACGAGTTGGAATGGAGACGTCTTACTTCTTTTATCAACAGTATGCAAACAATTAAGCGACCTGGCAGCGCCGACAGCTCTTTTGGTTGGAAGATGTCTTTTAGATGGTATTCTAGCAGCCATTCCTTTAGAGAACAACGTTCCTATTCTCGCTCTAATCAATGACCTGGCTAGGCATGCACCTATGAAGGCTACTTTGTTAACATTGACCAGTCCGGCGTCCAGAGCGCAAGTAAAATCCGATCAAAAATATCCGCCGGTTATCGAGATGATGTGCTCCACTTTGAAAAGTAGCAGCGACGTCAACGTACAATATGAAATCCTCAGTACCTTCGAAACTCTATGCAACTACAATCTCAGTCTAGTACAAGAGGATAACGAACCTTTGGAAAAGAAACTGACGCACTCGGTGCCCAGCAAGGAACCTCTTTTATCTATACTCGCGGTTCTAATCGATATCCTGGCGATCAGCACAAAGTTCCAATTAGATGTGATAGAAAATACGTTGACCATTCTCTTGTCTCTCAGCAATCACAATTACGGTCTGTATCATGTAAAGAGCTGCCTGGAGAACAATCCCTGCGCCTTGCGCGCGTTACTGGATCATGTATTGAGCTTGGAAAACCCCGAAACAAACTCCACTGTAGAACTGACCGTAACTTTCTTGGAGAACCTAATCGCCTCCGAATCGGAAGCGAGGACTTTGCATTTGCGCGCACAGCAATTGGCATTCTTGATCTCTTGGGAGAAGACAGATCATCCCTTAGAGAAATTGAAGCGCGCGGAAGAGCTGAAGGAAATTTTGAAAGCTGCCGAAGAGAAAGAAGAGAAAGAACCTATCCCGGAGATGTTAGAGCCTCTGCTGCCCACCCCGGAAGCATTATTGAACCAGTTCTCGCAAAGGTGTCTTTGTACAACTAATAGCCCAACCCGATCCAAGAAATTTTCTTTCACGACCAATCAAACACAAACTGAAGATACAGTGGACTTGTTGGCACTTGCCACTGAATTACTACCCGCTGACTTCAATCTATTAGCGGAGGCGCAAAACTTGTGTTCTAAAATACCTCCTGATGACACCACTCAACCTCTGCAATCAAAACCTCAGGATGAAGAACAAGAAAGTAGTAGAGCGGAAAAACAGATTTCTCCAATGGCAAAGTCGAAACAGCCATTCGGTAAGATTATTAAAGATTTATTAGACGGTCTTTAGAAATTTAATTCTTCATATCGAAAAATATTAAGAAATCAAAAAGAAAAAGTGAACAATTTTTTATCAACCTCATCTATTTTTTTATGTTCAATTATTAGTGTGTTCGACGATTTATGATTTTTTTAATGATAATTCTTTAGTAACACCAGTACGAGGTCGGACACAGTTCACCAATTCCCTACGAGGAGGTCCAGTAGGTGGAGGAGTAGGTAGAGGATCCGATCCCTTCCGATCGAGGCCGCCCAACACTTCCAGGCCACCGTCTCTTCACGTGGACGAGTTTGTAGCGCTGGAAACCTGCGGAGCTCAGCCAACCGGTCCTACCGGATACAATAAACTCAACATCCGCGGAACGTGCCCATCGCGTGCTATTAGCAGCAGTACCAGGAGTCGACCTTGGACACAAGAAATTCGTCCCACGTATCTTCGCTGATTTATTACTATCTACTATCTTTCGTTTCGTGTATATATATATATATATATATATACATACATATATATATATACACACACATATATGTATATTTACAAAATACTAATTATGCCAATAACAATATATAATTTTTTTCTTGAAAGGCTGTATTTTGCAGAAATAATATTTCATTTTGTAATGAATTATTCTTTTATCAACTTTTGCCATTTGGGATACTGCTTTTTGAATTTCTCAATATTGTTTTCCAAACGCTTCCATTTTCGATATCTGTACTTGCTCTGGAAAAAATATTTTATATATGATATATATTTTATATATTTATATCAAATTTTTGAGTGTATAATGTATTCAATAAATTAAATTAGACCGCGCTATATGAATAAATCAAATAAGAAAGAATTAAATAGATCGAGGTAAATTTTAAATACATTTTCCAATTATGTAAACTGCGCGCCATTACTATCGGATTTAAAACATAATCATAAACTAAAGCTGAAATAATATCACAAATTAAATCATCAATTTAATCATTTGATCATTAATTTAATAATTATGCTAATAAGAATCTTAAAATACTGCAAAGAACTTTAGAAATGTACATATTTTTTTAATTGATCAAGAGTTAAGAAAAAGATTAATACTAACAATAGTTGTGACAAATTTCATTAACATACCGTCGCTTTTGGTTTCTCAATCTTCAATAATTCTTCCGAAAATTTCTTTATGATTTCGATGGTCTGCGCAGTAGGTCTCGTTCTGTTCTCCATCATATATCTCATCATAAACAACAAATATTCAAATTTTTTTTTATGAAAAGCCGTATCAATGAGAGTACCTATGATTACAGAATTGGGTTTATAGCCAAAAACTTCTATTCCTTCCAGAAATTCTTGAGCCTGCATAAGTTCTTGACAACCAAGTGCCAAAACCCCGAATGTCATTACGTTTGGAGAAAGCCCCTTCTTCTCCGCTATGCTTATCACCTCCTAAGTTATTAAATCGCAACATGACATTGAAATAATCAAAAATATAATAGCGAATTTGGTTACTTGCAATACGCTCGAATACTAAAAACTGCTGTACATAAAATTCGCAAAATTAAATATGAAAACACACACACATATATATATATATATA